TGGAGAAGACTCTTGAGAGTCCCTTGGACTGCAAGGAGATCCAACCAGTCCACCCTAAAGGAGATCAGTCCTGGGTGTTCATTGGAAGGACTGATGTTGAAGCTGAAACTCCAATACTTTGGCCACCTCACGTGAAGAGTTGACTCATTGGAAATGACCCTGAAGCTGGGAGGGATTGGGGGCAGGAGGAGAAGGGGACGACAGAGGATGAGATGGCTGGATGGCATCACCAACTCGATGGGCATGAGTTTGAGTGGATTCCGGGAGTTGGTGATGGACAGGGAGGCCTGGCGCGCTGCGATTCATGGGGTCACAAAGAATTGGACACAACTGGGCGACTGAACTGAACTGACTGAAAGGTGTAAAAACTATTTTATATTACAGTACAAACATATGTAACAACTTTAAGTTTCATAACTTAAATTCTACATCAGTATAAAATCCGAGGTCATACACATAAAAGTTTAGGATACCAAACATGAAGACACGAGAATGATGGCTGTTACTGTTTGGAGAAAGCGAGGTAGAGTATAATTACAAATATGTCACACCAAACTTGGGAAGTCTGGGTTCTAATCCCAACTCCAAAATCAGTTAATTGTGATGTCTTGAACTGGTCATTTAATTTTTCTGGGGTTCAGTTTCTTTATCCATTATATAGGAAGTATTCTTAATAACTTTTAGCTTTAGCATTCTACTAAAAAACCTACATTTTACTTTTAAGTTTTATTTTCATTAGTATAGTAATATAAGTAAATTTTAACTTTCTTCTCTTTGAAATTTTACTCACCAGAAGTCAGATCTTTGTAGTTTTGTTGGTTTGTTAAAACCTGAGTAAGAACAGACCGCATTGCTCCTCCCATTTTAGTTAGATCTTCTAAAAAGGAAATTTGAGGTTCCAAAAGCTGAAGGACTTTATTAAGGTCTTTCTCTGATGGAACATCAGCTGCTAAAAAAAAAAAAATGCAATCAATTTTCTTTAAAATATTTTGCTAAGAATAATATTTTATTCCCTTAAAAACACAGTAACTTAGATAACAGCATTTTATAATCAAAAAGTTAATATAAGAACTCGTTTCAGAAAGCAGGAACCTACTCAGCACCCAGCTAGGGTAGACTTGTTTAGGAATTCAGTCCTCTGAGAAAAGACTGATGGAGAAAAGAGATGACTTCATAAGGTACTGGGTGTCCCAAGTGGCTCAGACAGTAGAGAATCTGCCTACAATGCAGGAGACCTGGGTTCAATCCCTGGGTCAGGAAGATCCCCTGGAGAAGGAAATGACAACTTACTCCAGTATTCTTGCCTAAAGAACTCCATGGAGGCAGGAGCCTGCTGGACCACAGTATATGGGGTCGCAAAGAGTTAGAAATGACTGAGTGACTTTCACTCACTCATTCACTCACTCACTCATAAAGTATTAATCACTTAATATGTGTAAAATGCATTCAACTGAGGGTTCTATACTTACAGATATATACATGTAATCAAAAGATCATCTCAAAATTAGATGAACAGAGTTTAAGAAAAAGTTAAGATTACTCTCTAAAACAAAACAAGACAGAAATCAAATATATTCAGATAGTACAAGAATATTAGGACAAAATTATATCAGTTCTAAATTAAAATCTGTGTAGCAAATAACCCATCCTTTATCATATTCCAAAAATACAGACTCATGTTAGCTAAAAGTCAAAGCAACTAATTAGAAAAATATGATGTTTTTACTAAAACAATTTTAAAATACCAGGCAAGATATGCTGGTAGAGGGGAAGAGAAGAAATCTAGAAATCTGGACAGTAAATTAAAAAGAATAGTTAAGAGGAGAAGAAAAAGAAGATGTTTTAGAAAAACTGAGGTCTAAAAGAAAGAAGTGAAGAGAGAGATTTACAGCTTAATTATAACTGGTTAAAAGAAGAATGCACATAAGGGAGCTAACAGGGGGCCTGTGTGCCCAAAAAAGGAGACATCAAGTTCTTTAAACATTTATTGAGTATCTACTATATGACAAACACTGAGAAGCAAAACTAAGTAAGACATAGTTCCTACCCCCAAGGAACCCCCAATCTAGTTCAAAGATAATCTGTGAATAAAATTACAGATAACTCTGAGTCATGGAATCCAAGCCAAAACCTTACTTTCTCTGTGGAAAACCAATACTGTGTATTCTTCTTCTTTCTATTCTCCCCAGTGACTTATGTCACAACGTAGTAGAAATTTAATTAACATTTGTTTTTTATTTCCAGGGGCTCTAACACAAGCTCTGACAGAAACGATGGTAGGGTGAAATGGAAAATAGAACTCCAGGTAACTGTCAAACCATAAGATTACCTCAGCTTCCATTATCTCAGATTAGATGATTTCAAATATTCTTTTTTTTTCTCTTTAATTTCAAACAGTGATCTATGCACAAATGAATGTAGTAGTTTACTTTTGCATAGACATAAGAAATTAATGCTGAGTACAAGCAGTAATACAGAGAGAAAAAGTTCATGAACCTAAGTTCACAAAATTCATCTTAAAACAAAAAAAGTGCTCCCATTCATTCCTTTATGTTTTCAGATAATGGTAACATAATTATCAAAACTATGTACCTATGTCATCCACCTCTTATAACTGTTAAGTGTCACCAAGGAAAATATAAATATAATATATACTCATATTAATTACTCTTTGATTAACTAATGGTAAGCTTTAAGATTTGCATAATAAGTGATTTCTACCTATTATTTTTCCAGAATAGGACACTTGTAGCATAAAATGTGAATATCCAAAAAATCTGTTAACTAACATACATAAAATAAAATGTAAGGAAATTTCAATAACCCTGCTGGTCTCCAGTTCCTTCATTCCAAAGAGAAAGCAGTTTGGGACTAAATCAAAATAATATTCCTTTCTCTATTTTAATGCATACCACAAGTATTTGTCAAATACAAAAGACTATATTCTGCTTAAAAGTAGAAGTGAGAAACTATAAGTATTTGTTCACTATGCAAATAACACAATAGTTTTAGAAATGATGACGATACTATAATTCTTCACACTTCTAGATGCAAGAGAGAAGATAAACATGTGTGCCATAGCTTCAAATTGGATTTAAGATTACTTACAGTATTAAATAATTTAAAAGCTCTAAAAGTAATGCAAATGCAGGCCCTTAAATGATAAAAATGCAAGTATCTCTAGAAAGGCAAAAGCCATCATAAAAAGTTAATGTTTGGTTCATACCACTAATTGATATCTGTAAGTCACAACGTCAGACTGAGAACTTTTAATAAATGATATCTAAGTTGAGACATTTAACTAAAGCATATTAATCAAGATTGTGACTAAATCTTAAAAAGTAAGTATAATAATGATAATTTGCATGTTTCTTTTCTCTTTTCAATACAATCAGGATGCTCACAGAGATACATTCTACCAACAATATGGGAATAAGCAATTTGTTCCCTAAGTTGTTATATAAAGAGGGGAATAAATATATATAGACCTCTACAAAAAAGGAGGAGGGAGAGAGATTGGTGAAATAGATTATCTCCTAAAAATCTAAGTTAAAGTCAAACACTTTCAGGACTTCTTAATTCTGCTCTATCACAATACAATCACAAATCAAATCACTTCAACCCCATAAAATAATTATTTCCTCTTCTGCAGAAGGCCAAATAAGTTTGATCAGAGGCATTTATGACCCAACAAAACAGATTGCCACACTGTGCCTACTACAAGGTATCTATGAGGTTATATAATTGATATTTAGTGTGCTTTTATTTAGTATATCATAATCATCACATAAAAAACGTTAAGCCAAAAAAAAAAGGTATCTGAAAAAATTTACCTCATTGTTAGTGCTAAACTTTGTTAATTGAGAACTTAAAAAGAGTACTAACAAAAAAATGGATTAAACATACCTGGTTCATTATAGCCTTCTCTTAAATACTGAATAAGACAAAAAATAAATCTTGGAAGAACAAATTCAGACATCATCAGTAAGTCTTTGGGGACACAGGGAATATTTGAACTTGATTTAATTTGATGCCTTTTGCAAAACCTGTAATAGGAAAAAGAAAAAAAAAATTAATGGTGCTGTCAAATCTGCTAAGAATATATTAATTCTATTTACAATATCCATAAACAGAATGTGGGCCAATATCAAAAGGAATGTCTTACTCTTTTTATGATTTTAAGGCACCAAGTTAAAAGTATGTAGTTTTAACTGATCTTTAAATAAAAATTGGCACTGAGGAAGATTTCTTCCTAATAAAACATCATATCAGTTACATTTCAACTAGAATACAAAAAGAAATCTCGTTACCAACTTTATACTTTTTAACTGCAATTTATTAGTTTCAAGGATTAATTTATCACTTTTACTCTATAAATCATTAAGTAAAAATTGATTATTTCCTAAACTTGGGAATTATAAACTGGGATTATTTCAAAAACTTGCATTTTCCATTCCTTAACTATTTCTAACTTATTGCATTAATGAATAGATAAGTGATATAAATACTTAAGAGTTTATTTGAAAAGTATATACACTTAAGTATGCACATTTCTTCTGATCTTATTTATACTAATTTTAAAGTATGACTGGTATATTTGAGCAAAATTGAAGTAAACTATTTTATATTTATAATCTGAATGGTCATAAATAAGGTATTTTGTGACCAAACACAAAATAAACACACTAAACATGAAACAGACCTAGAAAGAAACTTATTACAACAGATGGAGAAACTATTTTAGCTGAAAAACATAAAAATCTGAATAGAGAAAAACCACATTCCCAAATGGAAAAAGACTAAAAAAAAAGTCTCTTCCACCAAATGCAATGACATTAGATTTAAATTTCAATGGGACTAATCACAAACGAATTCTAAAGTTCAAATGGAAAATCATATGTGTGAAAGAGAATAAGTAAAATATCTTACAAAATGATTAATGATAGTGATCTACACTTTAAAACATAAGACAAACTCAATATAATTTAAAATATGCAGTAATGTCTCCATAATGACCCATATGGGAAAAGAATCAAAAAAAGAGTGGATATATGCATATGTATATAACTGATTCACTTTGCTGTAAACTATATGCCAATAAAAAAAATTTTTAATAAAAACAAAATAAAATCTGTGATAATATGATATCAATAAACCACAATGGATTCTAGAAACAGACTATGTAATACCTAAGTCAATTAATGTGTGGGCGGGTGGGTAGAAAATTTTCAATAAATTGCTAAAGGACTAATTGGTTACATTGCAGGAAATAAATTTGATCCTTCTCTTATACCATATACAAACTATATTCCACATAGATGAAAAATCAAGCAGGAAAAAATTTACCAGGAAGAAAATAAACCATTACTCATATTATCTCAAAGAACAGAAGTCAAAGTCATAGAAGAAAGCTAAAAATTGGCTACACAGATTAAAAGTTTCTATGCAGAAAACAACTACAAACTGGAAAAAACATTTATAACATATAAAATATTAATATCTATGATCTTTAAACTCTTGAAAAATGGGTTTAAAAGAAAATAATTCATAAAAAAACAGCCAAGGTCATGGGCAATTCACAAAAGAAGGGAATGACCAACAAATATGAAAAGATGTTCAAGTTCTGCAACAATCAAATGAATGAAGTTATTAAAATAAAAAATGAGCAATTAGAAAATCACCATTTTGTGATACCTATAAAATAACTGTCCCATGCAATGGAGTCATTAAAGAAAGGCTTAAAGAGAAATTTTCCACTTAGAGAGCAGACTGTTACATCCATATCAATCTTAGTATTACCAGAAGAGGGAAAAAAAAAATCAGATGCAATGATGCTTCTGAAGTACACAGTGCCATTTACAAACAGTTTTTACCAAACAAGTTTAACCGAAATGACACTAGAGCTAAGTAGTGAAGTCTCTAGAGCTAAGAGATAAAGAAATAAGTTAAATGACACCATAAGAAAGTGAATAGAAAAATCATGAAAGTAGAACATTATATAGGACAACTGACTCCACTGCAGCTCATCACTGCAACCTGCCAGTGGCTGACAGAAGAAGGAGGCAGAAGGAGCATGGGTTAAGGGGCCTGAGACACCCAGTAGCCAAATGCAACATGTGAACGGATTCTAACCTAAACCAACTTGGAAAAGGCATTCTTTAAAAAACAGAAGTCCAAATAAGAACTGAGTACTAGTTTGTTAAATAATTTTACTAGGTAAGATAATGGCATTGTGGTTATGTAAGAAAATGTTCATGGATATTTAACAGTAATAAGGAATTAACTTTGTGGAGGTATGACAACAGCATTGTGGTTATCACTGAATAGGACAGTCTTGTCTTTTAGATATCTCTATATAAGTGTTTATGAATAAAATGCTACAATGTATGAGACTAGCTTCAAAACAATTTGGTTGTGTAAAGGAAAATAAATAGGAGTATACCAAGCCCAGCTTGAGTTGATAACTGTAGAAACTGGGAGACTGATAAGGGGTTCTGTTATACTCATTAAGCAGAATGTGGGCCAACGTCAAAGCCAATGAAGTACCACCACTTTCAGATTTTTAAGACATCAAGACAAAAGAATGCAGTTTTAACTGGTCCTTAACAAAACATCACCAAAGGAGTTTTTTCCTAATAAAATGTTGAATCAATTAAGTTACACTCATTGCTTTTATACCTGTATGAAATTTTCTCCACTAAAAGGCTAAAAATTTTTCTAAAGAAAGAAAATACACTGAAACATATAAGGCAGTGATCAAACATGTTTGGGATTTGTTTCAAAACATTTTGGCAAAAGAGAAAAAAGAAGAAAATGAGGCAAACATGTCAAAAATCTTGATAAATATTGAGTCCGATGATAGGTGTATGGAGGTTCAAAGTTCTATCTTTACCTTTGTGTATGGCTAAAATTTTTGATAACATAAAAATGTTTTTTCATCTTGCAGATTAGGGAAAATTCACTTTATTAACTCACTGGAAAGCATGTTCAGAAATTTGTCATCATACACAGGGAAGGATAAATAGATCCAGTTCTGGATGACATTTTAACAGTATCTATTAATACTCTGGGCTTCCCTGCTGGCTCAGACGGTAAAGAGTCCACCTGCAATGTGGGAGACCTGGGTTCAAGCCCTGGGTTGGGATGGTCCCCTGGAGGAGGGCATGGCAACCCACTCCANTCTAAAATAAATGAGAAAAGAACTGCATACCATACATATAAATGTACATATATATAAAATAATCTTTTATAAATAAAATTTTGGACAAAGAATAGAAAAAATAACATCTGTAAGAATAAAAATATTCAGAGAAATGTACACCAAATTTTGTAGAAATTAACTGAAAATGGGATACAGCATACTTTTACTGTCTACATTAATTGTACCTACAATGTTTAAATTCTGTAAGATAAATATATGTATAACTATGTAATCAAAAGGAAAAAACCTACCCCCAAAATGAACAATAAGTTATGCCATTCATTTGGCTTAGTTTGACAATCTGAACGTTCATTATTAACCTTTTTTGGCTAATAGACCCTTTTCAGCATCTAATGAAAGTTATAACTCTTTCTTAAGAAAAATATACACAAACACAAAAAAATAAAACACAGTGCTCACATACTACTTAAGTCTATCTACCCTTAAAGCAGAGCTTCCAAACATCAGGTCAACATATTATAGTGTAGAAACAGATAGACTGCCTCAGTCCTCACATAGATAGACGGGCAGGGTCTGAGCAGCCTCCTCAGCTGCTTCTGTGTCCCATCCAAATATCATTTCCATATTTATCACAGAATGAAAAAATTAGGGAAAAAAAAGTCATACCCTAAGGTCTTCCCTGGTGGCTCAGCTGGTAAAGAACCCACCTGTAATGTGGGAGACCTGGGTTCAATTTCCGGGTTGGGAAGATCCCCTGGAGGAGGGAATGGTTACTCGGTCCAGTATTCTGGCCTGGAGAATTTCATGGACCAGATAGTCCATGGGGTCACAGAGTCAGATAGAACTGAGCAACTTTCATTTTCACTTTCACTTTTCATTACACCTAGAAGTCCAAATCTTTATTTAAAGGAAAATAGGAACTTAAGAACTTCTTTCAGATGGGGTACATAAAATCTAAGTAAATTCAAAGAAACTTTTAAAATTCTCCTCTAAATCTAATATAATTTAACTGAAGTGCTTATTAGCATGAATGTAGAAACAGAAAGCTTTCTTAGACGCTTTCTGTGTACGAAAGAAATGAAATCAAAACAGCTACTGAATGGAGAGTGAAGAACATCTGAACAGTGTCAAATGGCTTTGAGGAATAAGATTTCAACCTGGAACAAAGGTGAAGGAACAGCAAGAATGGTCTAAGCGACTAAGAAACTAAGGTCACAGAATAACTGTAAGATACTATGCGTGTGTGCTAGGTCACTTCAGTGGTGTCCGACTCTTTGCAACCCCATGGACTGTATAGCCCACCAGGCTCCTCTGTCCACGGAATTCTCTAGGCAAGAATACTGGAGTGGGCTGCCATTTCCTTCTCCAATAAGACACTATGAGATTGACAAACAAAATTGGTTTTTGCATTTTAGTCTAAGAAATAATACAGGTAACTAAAACATCTTATTACACAGCAAGTGCTCAATAAAGGTTTGGTGAAACAAAGATTTAATCTGATAGCAGAATTCCAAAAATAATTTCAAGGGCATCCAATTAAAGAAAAAACAACTCATTTAACAATCCCAATTTTTGAATATGTTTTTAAGAACCACTATATGCCTGGCACTTAGGCCTTAGGAATAGAGGCCTTGCTCTCATGCAGCTAACTTCCTATCGAGGGGAGAAGTGGGTTGAGGCAGAGGATAGAGAAACAAATTAATACGAAAAATAAGCTCTACAAAATAATACCATAGCATGATTTAGAGAACGGGTCAATAGGCACCTTTAAATTGGGTTTGTCGGGGAAGGCCTTTCTGAAGACTTGACATCTGGGCTACGGACCAAATGAAATGAAGGAGCTAGGCTACGCATGCAAAGCTCTGTGGATTGAGCATATTGTCA